AGTTGACAAGACAAGAAGCTGTCTTCCGACTCTTCATCATCGATCCACCTGGAGTTTTGGCGCTTGTAGTCCTTGACCTGATCTCTTGAATGGGGACCCGATTCGTGGTCTTTAACGCCAAAAAATCTAGGTTGGTGAACCGATGGTGTTGACCTCTCCCTCCTCCTCATGCTGGACATGGCATCCTCTTCTGGCACAAAAGTGTATCTCGGTCTCCCTCGCCTCATTGCTTGCATTGCTCCTGGACTCCCCCCGGGTGAGGGCATACCCCCAGACAACCTTAAGGGCATTGCGGTCCGGCTCTCTCCCTCTCTCTCTCCCTCTCCCTCCCTTTCCGGGCAAGGGGAACGTACGAAGTTCGCCGGGCCAAGAAGCCCACCCATGCTGTATGGGCACCTTTGGGAGTTTGTGGAGGAAACAAACGGCGGAATTCTCCCTCTCTCTCTCTCTCTCTCTCTCTCTCTTGCCTGCTTGCTTGCGGTGCAGGGGCTGCGAGCAACCCCGAAGGCGTACCTCCAATGCGCGCGGAGGTCAGTCTCTTCGGCCCCTATTCGGGGAGGAGTCAGCTGTCCGCCCGGATACAACCAGCTTGGTAACTCTCTCTTCTTCTCCAAGGCATTGGGGGCGAGTTAAGTCCCCCCGGGCGCTTCGGCCGCCCGCATCTGCGGGCGATTGGACGGGTGGCGATTCGAGGGGTGTGAAAGCCCAAGATGGTTTGCTAACTGAAACTGCAAGTTACACGCTTGTCGGCATGTGTTTTCAGTCTTCTGCCATCTTGCAGAGGAGATATGCATGGCTTTCACCCGGATTCAAGGTACGACAAATATGTCCGACATCATTCCAATCCGGTTGACAGAGTAGGATCAACAAATCGTGTGCAAACCACAACCTTGCACATTCCATTCCTCGTCCGAACTGGTGTGGGCGCACAGCAAGGCTCACCAGTTTCAACTAGAGCCCCGAATCAAGCATAGCATGTTTGCAGCAGTTTCTAGTATCTGGGCAACAAACATGCAAACTGGCCCACTGATGCTGAGAGCTTGGCCCTTACAACGGCATGTTCTGCGTGTTTTGACGGACATCCAGAGTAACATCGCAACGTAAGCTAGTGAACAGGAAAACACGATCAATAACATAAGGAAGTCCCCCGGTGCTTCAAGGCGAGAGTGAAACTTCAGGCCTTCCTTACAAATGCATGGCACTGTAGTGTGAGGTTTCGGTCCGGGCCATCTGGCAACAGAGCAACACCTAGGACGAAAAGCACCTACAACAGCACCTGTGCCCTATGCACCCAGTACAGTAGATCATTCGGCAACTCTGTCTCTCTGTCTCGGGCTTGGGCCAAGGGCAGTCCCCTTGATTCGCGCATACGCGCTTCCCTTCCAACATGCTCTGTCCTTCTTTTTCTTCGCATGATCATAAACGGCTTGTCAAACTCCCGTGCGCTGGATGCGTCCGTGTTGGGCATCTGGAGGGCAAAACAAGAAACCATGTGCAGTCCCAGCTTTCTCTGTGTTGGTGTAGGCCAAACTTGACAGGACAAACATGCTTCCATTATGTATGGGTTGCACAACACAACCCATGCAGGTGCTCTCTCAGGATCTCGCATGGCCAGTGCTGTCAACACTGCACGAACTACACAGGAACCCGCTCGTTACAAGTGGCATACTGAAAGTCGAATCCCGCAACCGCGAACTACTGCAACCTGTGCAATCCGGCTGGATGTGGAAACGGTGCAACAAAACTCTGTGTGTGTGTGTATCCATAAGTAATGCCTAAATCAGTTCATTAAGTCAGTGAGCAACTACCTAATTGACTCATCAACCAATCAATCAATCAATCAATCAACCAACCCACCAACCAACCAATGAATGCATGTATGTATGTATGTATGTATGTATGTATGGATGGATGCATGTATGTATGTGTCTATGTATGTATGTATGTATATTATGTATGTATGTATATATGTATGTATGTATGTGTGTATGTATGCATGCATGCATGCATGCATGCATGCATGCATGTATGTATGTATGTATGTATGTATGTATGTATACATATGTGTGTGTCTCCACGTCTCGCCAGCTTGCCTGCTTGCTACAGATATGAAGCTCGGAGGGGGCCCCTGCCTACCCCCTCGGCTTGGGAGCTGTCCGGTCTGCGCCCCACTGTATGGCTGAGTCAGCAGAAAAGAAGGGTCTCCGGCTTTGCCTCGCACTCGCTCTAGCAGGCACGGCTTTGGGGCTGTCGGCCTAGCTCTCTCTCTCTCTTTGCTTTGCTTTGCTTGAGGCATGGGGCGGGAGCAGCCCTCCCTCTCTCTCTCTCACTCTCTCTCTGTCGCGCTCCGTGAGGCAGATTATCCGCCACTTCTTCGACATGCGCACACTCCGCCCAAATCGGCACTGGCGCAGCAAGGATTGCGATCCACCTCGCATGCCGCTCCGTTTCGGTCGCTGGGGCCGCGGAGACACCCAATGCAGAGGATCTTCCTAGACACATCATGCCTGTGCCGGTCACACTGGTTCTGTCGCCGTCGACATATCCTAAGGTGGGCGATTGTCGACACCCGAGCCTCCCCTTCCATCCCTCACTCCCACCCTTCCATTCCCGCCCTCCCTTTTCGGATGCACAGGGAGCAGCATCAATGCAACGACAGGTCGATGCACACTTCTGGGAGTGAAATGCACAGCAATGCACACCGATCGGAGCCTAACAGCTAGTGCGAAATGTCATTATCTGCCGAGGGTGGCTTTCAACATCTGCGATTGGAACTCGGCTTCTGACGGATATCTTCTTTGGACTTCCAGGTGGAGGGCTCTTGCCATTCGGGCTCTTGTCGTTCTTCGTGCCAAGCTCATCGGCACATGCACTTATGGCTTGCCTTCGCTCGGATGCTTGGGCTGATTCTTGAACAGCCCTTTAAAACTTCGTTTGTGAAGACACCTAATCAACTGGAGCCCCTGCGTGCAATCTACTTACAAGGCAAAGTTAGAGTCTCTTGGAGTAACGGAAGTTCGCAACACTCGATTTTCTGTTGGTGATGGGCGGCGTTATGCCTTGTTCCTAACCCCTATATCGAAGAAAGCGAAATGCAAGGCCGTCTAGTCAGCCAGTTTTCAATTGCAACCCGGTGCCAACAAAAAAACGTGCTAAAGTAGCCAAACCGCACTGGCTCGATGATCTCGCAATCGTCCGCTCGTATGTGCCACAACGGGTCCCCGGGCAACTCGCCAGGCACCTGCTCGGGGTGACTGGCACACTGCTCTCAGGAGGGACCAATTCGAAGGAGCCCCCGGATTTCAGGTTACAGCTCTCCAGCGGTACAGTAGGCTGACTTCGAGCACCGAGTGGCTGCTCGCTTTCTGTATGCATGTCTCTCTTTTCCACATGTGAGCCCCAAACCGTGAAAGGATCTGCACAGGAATCGCAACAGAATAACGACATCGACTGCCTTGCTGGGTGCTACTGGGTGTTCACACTCATGCTACCCTCTCAACAAACCGCAACAGAACACAGACACAGAATCCTGTCATAGATGCTAAGGGTAGCTGGAGTTCACACATATGCTGCTACCCTCTCGCACACAACAGAACACCGACATAGACTGTCACAGACGCTACTGGCATCTTGCATTCACATGGGTAGTCCTCTGAATTAGAACTATCCAGATTCATGCTACCCTCCCACAGAACTAAAGAAACACTGTCTGATATCTGAAGGCACCGAGGTGGAGGGTGTTGCAGCGTAGGCCACGACCGGTTGTGCAGGAGGGCTTGAGTCGGCGCTCACGCGGCGAAAGCTCCACAGGGGATCCTGCGTGATGGGGGTTGGACCAGACTCGGACAAGAAAACTGTGACGGAAGAGAGGTCCTTATTTCTATGCTGTCACGAGTTTTTTCGCTATCGCCTCTAAACTCTATCTCTAACATTAAAAAGCATAACGAGGATCAGCCATGCGGAACATCTAACGTGCCTGGCTCACACATGCCATCCGATGTGAAAGACAGGCTGAAGCGGCTCTCTATCATACCATCTTTTCCCCTTTTCCCCGGCCCAAGGATCAAAGACATCAATTGTACAGGGCGGGCTTCAGGGCTCCTTCTGCAACTCCTTGCGCAGCTCGACATTTTCAGTGACCACACGGTCGTACTCTGAATGTAACGCTGCAAGGTATCGCTGGAATGGCGAATCGTTGAGCGCCATGGCCAAGCAGACACTAGCTGCTGGAATGACGTGATGCACCCAAGCTTAGTGACGATGACACAAACAGCAGCAATGCGAGCTCGTTCTGTGCATGGTTTGTTTCAGCTTTTTGGAATTCAGATGCCTTCTCCAACTCCTGTCCTTGCTACATGCTCCACAGAAATCTCCACTGGAAGAAGGCCAGACTGGGACCCTGGAGCCATGAATCAGAGTCTAAGAATGCAGTGCACACATGCTTTTAAGGATGATTGCTATTTCGCAGAGGAGCTTTCCTACGAGTAGTACTGGACAGGAGCTCAACATAGATGGAATACAGCCATACGCGAGCATACGGCAACATGCTGCTTTACCTATCAACACAGCAAGGAACTCTCCAAAACCTTTCGGGAATGAAGCATGTCATGAAAGGCACGCGGTCGCTGACCCGGGTGGACGTCAGCACTGCATTCGCAAGTAGCGCAGGTCCTGAACACAGGTCAGTTATGCAACACCAACTGCGCTCCCTGAATGACAACGAAGATGCCTGCCTTCCAAGCCGGGTGAGCAGGCAGGAAGTCTGGCGCAGCGGACAGTGGCCATCCGATGTCTGTACGGTCATGCACGAGCAACTACAAGACTCTTCTGAGCCGCGTGGCAGGCTATATCCGGCTATATCTTGCTGCAGCATTTTTTGGGAAGTGAGCCCAGCTCTCGAGCACCTGCGTTCTTACATCTAGCGTCATGCTGCGAGGACTGCTTCAGTGCCAAGAGCCATGCCTCTCCTCGAAGGTGGAAATTGGCAGGCTGAGAAAAAGCTACTGCCCCAAGCACAGAATACCTTTGGTCCTGAAAACGAATGAACAAGAGCTTCCTTTTTTCGCTGCCGCATGCCAAGCCATGTTCTCGAGGTCGCGAAGGCAGCTTCGTGCAAAGACGCCATCACCTGGACGTGATGGTGCAGCAACTTCGTCATGCGGCATTTTCAGAGTCTGCTGTGTCCAGAGAAAGCAGTGCTGAAAAACGGAGGAGTAACCGGCTCTCTCGGACAGGTTGAGCATGCAGCGGTACAGGAACGAATCGGCCTCCTTGGAATTTCACGACACGACATGGTTTACTTGAAAGGGCGGGCTTGTTAGTA